CAGCCATGTTGGCTGGGGAATTCTGGGAGTTGAAGTCCACTCATCTTAAAGTGGCCAAGTTTGGACAACACTGCTCTAGATGCTTCAAAAAATGTTGCTGTTGGAAATTGCACGTCTTGAATTCTGCGCCGCCATTTATTTCTGTTTGAAATAAGGATGTGTTTGCTTAATAGAATTGTGACTCGTAATCACAATACGTAAAAGCTGTGCTTTGGCTGAACTATAACCCAAATTGCTGGAAAGGTTCCCAGAATTCCTCATGCTATACCAAGGACTAGATCCTTTATCTCCATCCCATTTATTTTCACTGCATCCAGAGAATTTGTGAAACATGCATGCCATCTCGTGGCTAAAGTGCAGATCTGCAAACGCATTCTTCTAAGCTTGACAATTTCATTTGCCGGGACAGGGCATCCCCAGGCAACATGGAAATTAAAAATCCAGATTTTTAAAGTCCAAGTATATCTCGGGAAAGAAATAAAACAAGTTAAAGCAGGCATTTCCCCTTCTCTGATCAATTTTCCAATTATCATTCAGTTCACCAACAGTTTCTCTGGAGAAAATGAGAGGGAGGCGAGCTTTCTTCTCTCGACTTGTAAACATAATTGTTTTTGTCCTTTTTTTAAAACGTGGCTGGAAAGTGTTCAGATGCTTCAGCATCCTGGACGCTGCATTTCTGCATATCTGAACGGCATCAGGTTGGAAAAGGTGACCAGGACAGTTAGTGTCATCTGCTCCAGCAAACAGCCAAGTGCGCTTACACTGGCTTAACTGCTGAACCTCATGGATAGGAAACCAGAGGAACTGTAGAATGAAATCAACGTTTATTTATTTCTTATATTTATATCCCACCTTAATTTTGTATAACTGAAAGCTGTGTATATAATATTCCCTCTCCTATTTTCCCCACAACAACAACGTTGGGAGGTGGGTTGGGCTGAGAGAGAGTGACAGGTCCAAAGTGACCCCATCAGCTTTAATTCCTAATGGGGAACTTATGGTTTCTCAGTTTCTAAGCCAAAGCTAAGAAAGACAAAAATCTCAGGAAAGAACTTAACAAAGAGTTTCAGATTGCTGTTAGAAGAGACAAGCAGTACAGGTAGTCCCCGGGTTAAGATGCCCGGGTCACAGACAACTGATAGTTAAGAACAGAGCCCATTGTAGCAAAAGTTAAGTTAAATACACAATGATTTGAGTTAAATATACAATGGTTCAAGTTCATTACACAATGCTACTAATACAGGATTATACAATAATATCGTTGGTCTTTGCCGCAGTTGTCAGCTCCGCTTTCACAGAGCCATCTTCAGTTTGCCATGCTTCCCCCAGAAGCCTGAAGATGAAGTTGGATCAACGCTCTGGTCATTACCAAGTTGGAAGGCCACCAGAAGTGATGGAATATCTACAGAAATATGCCAAGCAACAGAAGAAGAATCAATGAAGGTTCTAACCAAAGTATCTTAAGAATGGTTTTGAAATCTCAGATGAATACAAGAAACTTTTAATATGCTGCACTGAAATTTTAATATGTTACCTTGACATTTTAATTTAATTTTATAAAGCCCATCCATCTCTATTTTCTTTTGATTCTTCTTTTTTTAAAATCTCTGTATTTCTCTTGGTAGTGTTTTTAAATATCTACATAAAGAAATAAAGAAGGTTTTGCTGGTCTATGAGTTATGTTGTATGAACGCAACAGTGGCGGGTTCAATCCTTAACATAAGAAAATGAAACTGTATCTTTATAAGCTTTGAGAATTCAAAATAAACAGCAAAAAGCAAGACAAGGTTTTGTCTATAGAAAGTTTTGAATGGATTAAGGGCTCAGAAAATGTTGGAGTATTTGATTTTGAATATTAAAGACTTTGAAATTAATTTTAAAGAATAAATGCATTTTTGTGGGAAAGAAAAAATATTTTTGATATTAGAGACATAACAACTTCTTATGGCGTTCAGATATTGTTGAGGAATGGCAATGGGACTTTGAATCAACAATGTCAGCTACGTTGGGTATTTTTATGAACACCCTGTTCCCAGAAGCTGTTGCACCAAAAGATGCGGTTACAGAAAAAGATTTGGAACAAAACTTATCTGACATGATTACGGAAAACAAGGTGAACAACAATTTATCACTGGATATACAAAAAAAAAAAATCGCCTGGCTGGGGAATTCTGGGAGTTGAAGTCCACATATCTTAAAGTTGCTAAGGTTGAGAAACGCTGCTCTGGACAATAATAATATTTTATTAAACTTGCGCGCCACCGGCTCTCAACGTCTCTGTATTCCATGCCTCTTGAAACGCATCAACTGGACTTGCTGAAAGGGTGCTAAAATCTGGCAAACGGCTTGTGACTTGGTGTCATTTTACGACGCCAACCCAGGCCCTCGGGTTGGGGAAGGGTTGGCCCAGACCATTGGGTTAACCTGCCGGGGCCA